TCTGGGCTAATCCCAGTATCTTTTCTGTTCTCTTGCTGTGTGACTCCAGGTAACCAGGTCAGAGCCTTCTCTGACCTTTTTAATTTTCACAACTATTCTAAGGAATATGTCCTAGTATCTCTATTTTATCAGTGGGGAAACAGGCTCAGAGTGGGAAGTATCTGGCCCAAGGTTGCAGAGCCAGAATTAAAAAAACTCCAGACTGTCTGGCTCCAATTCTCGAGTCTATTCTCAGCCTCCATAACCAGCATCCTAGGGACGAAGGTGGACTTATGCTAAGGAGTGGTCAGCATCATGGGGGTGGGGGCCTCTCCTACCCTATCCTCCACAGGTGAGTTGTTCGCCATTGCCTGGGTTCCTGGCCTCCACCTGTGTGGCAGAAAGATTGAAGAGCAGGTGTCCCCCTTCCGTGGCCCATAGCTCTTAGTATAATAGCAAAGCACAGAGGCAGGAGACAGGCAGAGTCCTGGGGGCTCCAGGGATCTGGGCCGGAAAGTCCATGTCTCTCTGGGCATTGGGTATAGGAAGTAGAATTCAGGAAGACTTCCTGGAAGAGGTGCACTGGGTTCAGAAGGCTGAGTAGCATTTCAGGAGATGGAAAGGGAGGTCAAGGGGAGAGAGGTGCCTAAGCAGAGTGACTCCAGGACCACACAGAGGGTGCCGGGAAGTGGAGACAGCTGGAGCTCTGGGGCAGCAAAGGTCAGAGCCAGGCTACCATAGACCCCAAGCTAGTTGGTTAGAGTAGAGGTGTCTGAGTCCACCCTCCATGTGCTGGCTGCCAGCTGGACTGTCCACTGCCTGCAGAGATGGCTGGCTTCAGGCAGAGCAATTTATCAGTCGCATACATAATGGGTCCCCTTGCTCCCGTAGACCAAATCAATATCCGCTCGGTGCCCCGGGTGGGTGGCTGCTGAAGACATTCTCCTTATCAGCCCCTTGGTCCCCCACTGCCTCACCTGCGGGGCTCCAGGGACAAGGGTGGAGGTGAGGGGCTGATGGAGGAGGAGGTGGCAGGTTAGGACAACCGTCCCAGATGCCGCCCAACTCTGGCTGGCAGGAGGACCAGAGTGCCCCACAGCCACGAGGCCACCAGGTAAGGTCGGGTTTGCAAGAGGCCCAGGCCAGTGCTCCCCGGCAGGACCACAGATGCAGGCCACAGACTTTGTGTCTCCACTGCGTTTGCCTCCATAAAAGTGTGCTGTGATCAAGGGGCTGGGGAGAGGGAGCTGTCTGGGAGGTGCAGGGACAGTATCATGTTAAACACTGTGACCCCGAGGGCTTATTTCCTGTCCAGATTCTCAGAGTCAGTTTGTCTTGGGTTCAGGCCCTCCACTCGGAAGCCTCCCACGGTCCTGGGAGTTCAGCTGACGGAGGCAGACAGTCCTGAACTGGGCCTCGACCACGCTCCGCCAGAAGGGCGAGGCTCATCTTTTCTTGAGTCTGCATTGCCCTGCCCTCCCGCCCGGTCCCTCCCCAAGGGCTGTCCTCACTCCACAC